CGAAGCTGAAATCCCTATTTGCACTTCAGAAAAAACACGTTTTGGAATGCTCCGTGCCCTAGTTAAAGGATTCGTTAAGCAGCGGCATTGTTTGTTGAACGACTTTTCACTGGCGTAAATAAACTGCCAGCAAGCTTTCAACTTCCCAATGTGTGGCCCCTTTCTCTCCACTCTTCTTAATACTATCGCTTTAACCACCCTCCCTTCTTACTTTACTTTTGCTTTTACAAATTTGCCATACATGCTTTCAGCCTTTGGCGGTAAGAGGCTGTACTTATAGTTCCCGTGCCCATCCTTATACAAAACGGCTAAGAGATGAAAAGCAGGTTGTTTTATTGGAATTTGAAAATTGGCAGCTATGTCAGCCTTGGGCAAGACGGAAATATGTGCCACAGTCTCCAGCCGGAAATTGTATTCTGAGGGGCGGCTGGTTGACATAAATTCTACAGCATCGTCGGTGTCCTTAAAATGTCAAAACAAAAGAATCGTTCCCAGCGTTTCAGTACCGCTGTGCTGAAGGTAGCGACATACGGATATGAAATATAGTTGCCAGCGAAAGTTGAAGAACAAGCTCTGCCTGTAATGAAGAGAGCGATGGAGCGAAGGATGCTTGGTGTATCTCTCCGCGACCATATAGAGAATCAAACTTTCCTTCAGATGAGCAACATGGTTGCGCTTATGTGAGAAAGCAAAATCTGACGGGCAGGACATGTTGTTCGCCTTGCCGACAACCGGTGGGCGACTCGCATTAGTGAGTGATATTCACGGGGAAGCAAGTGATGACTCGAGCGACCTCCGAAATGGTGGCACACATACATCGAACAAGTGGTGAATACCAACTGGGGGCGTGCACCTCCGGATAGAACGGCTTGGCATAGCTGCTTTCGTCGTGTAGGAGCATACCCGTAATATCACTTGCAAGGGATACCAATACCGATAGCCAAAGTTGTCTTGATATTTTATGACTGTATTCCTATGCCTGCCTTCTAGTATGACTTATAAAAAAAATTAGAAAATTAGAAGGCAGGCATAAGAATCTGTGCCTGCCTTCTAATGTTCCAGTTTCTGTGGAGTATTAAGGAGGAAGAAATGAGACAATCTACCAATTTTGACCGTGAAATATGAAAATATAGAGATGAAGATCAAAATGTGTTTTTGGGTATATTGATGCTTTTTATTTTTTTCATCTATTACAGCGGTAATTAAAATTGGTTCACCGCCTTCAGTGGAAACTAATGATAATGAGCAAGTAGTGATTAACGTGATATCTGAGGTTTTCCGTTTGCAGGATGCAATTTTCGCTGCCGATTCGTCGCTGTTTACACTGAAAGCGAATACCGCTGAAGATCTATCGTTGCTACTTCAACAAGTTACTTACGTAAACAATAAGAATCCGCCAACACCTGGACACCGAACATTTACGATCAACACAACCGTCCAGTGCACCGAAAGAAAAACGGTAATTTGCGAGGGAGTCTGCAAAAAATTGTTGTTCCATTTTGTAATAAAGTCTAGTTTTTCAAATAGTGATAGAAGAACAAATAAAAGATGGGAAGAGTTCGAAAGGTAAGTAGTAAGAAAAGAATATTATATGAAAAACGAGAAAATTTGTGATACAGGCAAGAAACAAGAAATCGAAAATAATAACAGAAAAGTTGTTTTGGTCTATTGAATCGTACACATTCCTATTCATATTATTTCAAATACTCTTGATGTTTTCAGCTATCACTGAGTCCCAGTAAAGGCTTTATATTTGTTCAAAAGGAAGCTGATCCAGTAATTTCGATCAGTGGCTTGTCAATCATCAACAGCGATCAGCATCTTGTAAAAACTGGTGCACCAATGCTGCCGGAAATTAAGATCACAGTCACTCAGAATATCAATGGCGGTTTGTGTTTTCACTCTGCCCTCCTGTATGCGCATTTTGCTAAAAAATTGAACTCAGACTTCTCTGTTGAAGATGTTTTTGGCTATTCTTGTTGACTGCATATTTATCTCACTTGGATTACGAAAAAAATCAAAATCCCGTTCATATTCATTCTGTGCGCGCTGTTTTGCTTTTTGCCAGGCTTACAAGTTTTGCATTGTCCGGAGTAACTCACCACTGCCTTAGCCTATCTGCTGGCTGAACCCCATTACTTAATGCAGCGGATGGTGCAGAATATTCCCTCAATTATTTTTCAGCTATTTTGCTGTTAGCAAAAGGCGAGCAAAATTTAATGGTCTTATCTCTCATTTCTTCCACAGAAACTCGCTACGCTCAAGCAACAGCGCCTACTTATCTACTTTTATGCCTGATTTCTTCATCGATATTGGTTGTGACTAAGCTCTTTGTGAACAAACCGGGACGAAGAAGTGAAAACCAGTCGGCCAAATGTGAATATAAGTAGTCATGGCCCTTGTTTCGCTGATTACTTTTTATATAAAAGAATCACAAAATCAGGAATAAAGTTGAGTGGGGCTGAAAAAATGAAAGGATCTGCTTGCAATAAATGGGAATGCATTGATTTACAAACATTGTGCGTATTTGAGCTTGGGCAAAGTTCAAGAAAATGCAGAGTAAGATGATGCCACATGAAAGCAGCGCATTAGACTAAAATAGGACGTAATAGGGACTAACGTTCAATTTTAGTTACTAAGATCAAAACGGCTATTGACCAGTTAATTACTATACACATTTTCGTTTACAGCAATCTGAAATAGCCTTTATAATTGTCCTTAAGCCTAATAAGTACTTCATCATCTAGTATCAAATGAATATAGATCTAGCATAATAATAAAGATATTAATGATGTCTGTGTGCATAAAATCAAAATGCATTAAAAAATAATCAGATGAATAGAATGTTTCGGTCCATTAAGTCGTATATACTTATATTCAGCACAACAACTGGACCTTGTCAGTGTAACGGTTGTGGTGCTGACATGTGTATTGTGTAATACAAAATAAATGTGTGTAAATCTGGATGCAGTATAATTCTATTTGAAGAGATCAGCAGGCTACGGGAAGAATTTCTGTGCCAGCTACGCTTGTTTCATTTAAAAAAAAAAAAAACTCATTATCGTTGCATGATGTATCTGGGTGCTTGTGTGCATTCGTTTTCCAGTTAATTTAGTTTGGGAATTACAAGGGCTGGGAAGCTGAAATTCTGGAACAATAGTCCAAAAATGCGTGCGGGATATGAATATAAAAGCAGTTCTGTCGCTTTTCCTATACAAACCTTGTCTTTAGGTCTATAATCCGGCTGACATATTATCTAAAAAAATACTATAAACAAGAAAATTTCAGCCAGCCGGACGATAAAATTGAAAGGTCTGATCTGACTTACATTTCTTAATTTACAGTGTGTCTGCGTTTGACTGTTGACTAAAATCTATGTTTAGAAGTTTGCTACGTATTCCAGATTAGGCAAACTATATATACGAAATTTGCTGTTTCGGTTTACCATGTGATTCGTGATGAATGTCTTGAAATCATTTTTTTAGCTCTTAACGCCCTGCTCTATAATTTTAGACCGATGTCTCAAAAAGCACCGCGTTTCTCAGACAACTTTAGCCAGGAGTTAGAGTGCTGCAGAGCTACGCGCCATAAAAAAAAAAAAAAAATAGCATCATCACCGTCATAACTGCCCTTTACTCAAGTCATCGCACCCAACCACACTGCGTTCTCCAGCAGAAATGCACGATCTTGGCCGATAATTTAGCGATAAAGTCTTCTCTGAATTAAAGTAAAACTAATCATAGTACAGAAGCAAAAAATTTTTAGGGAGAAAATTTGTGGCTGTTTTTATTTCAATAAATCACCGTAATACAAAACCCTTTTACGCTTAGTCACTTGCATAGACTCACTAATAGAAGTACGTGTCTTAGGGAGCGGGGGGGGGG